GTAATTCCACACTCTTAGGAGGAAATTGGAGGCCCAAGAAGGAAAATGACTTGTTGCTCAAGGCCCTACACAACCCAAGAAGCATAAAAGTTCTTTTTAAGATACTGGAAGGAAAAAATTCCTGGGAAAGAACCCCAAAGTAGTTACTGGGAGTTGCGCATGGCCTAATAGTTCTTAGGTTGCATCGTGTCTACCCAGCAAAATTTCTCATTCCAAGCCACCCACTCTGGCCCCATAAGAACCACTCTATAGACATTCTGACGATTCAGTCACTTACTGCGTGGGCTGCCGCTCTGCTCCGCTAGCTGCTGCGGGACAGCCGGCCTCCGGCCTCTGGGTGAGGACAGGAGGGGGGGGTGGGGGGAGGGAAAGGCGGGGAGGAGCAGGGGGAGGAGGAGGTGGAGAGGGAGGGCGGGGGAGGAGGAGGAGCAGGGGAGGGAGGCCGGCCATCGGGGTTTAAATTTAGACACAAATCTAAACAGATACTGTCCCCTCCCAGGGCAGGGCTCCAGCGAGGGAGCCACCTCGCTCCATTCATGTGCCCAAACATGGGATGGGACAGCCGCCGGTGCCTCTTTCTGGAGAGGTATGTCCCGGACCCTGGTCCCTGCCGCAGTTTCAGCCCTCTCCGCCTCTCCCTCGTTCAGTGCACCTTCTTCCTTTTCCTGCCCTGAAAGTTCGAGTTGTTCTTTCCCTCTTTGATCTCCCCTCTTTTATGGGCATCCTTCCTGCTTCCTTTCCATCTCTTCCCTCCTTTCATTGCTTTCATGTCACACATGGTTTTCCCGACTGGAGAGCAGGACCCTGCCCGGCTGACGCCTGTGTGAGGTGGATGCCCGTGTGAACCCCTGGCCCAGAAGACAGCAGTGCACACGGAGCCCCTCACCGTGCGGAAGGGACAGGACCCTTCCCCTTTCAGCCCTACCGCTCCACCTCCCAGCCTCACATTTTCACAGCCAACCTGCCCATCCCTCTTCTGCATGCCAGGAAGAGGAGGAAGAGGAGGAAGAGGAGGAAGAGCAGGAGGAGGAGGGGGAGGAGGGGGAGGGAGAGGGAGAGGAGGAAGAGGAGGAATAAGAGGCAGAGGAGCAGGAGGAGGAGGGAGAGGGAGAGGAGGAAGAGGAGGAAGAGCAGGAGGAGGAGGGGGAGGAGGTGGAGGGAGAGGGAGAGGAGGAAGAGGAGGAATAAGAGGCAGAGGAGGAGGAGGAAGGAGAGGGAGAGGAGGAAGAGGAGGAGGAATAAGAGGCAGAGGAGCAGGAGGAGGAGGGAGAGGGAGAGGAGGAGGAGGAGGAGAGGGAGGAGGCAGAGGAGGAGGAGAGGAGGAGGAGGAGCAGGAGCAGGAGGAGGCAGAGGAGGAGGAGAGGAGGAAGAGGAGGAGGAGCACAAGGAGAAGGGACAAGAGGAGGAGGAGGAGGAGCAGGAGGAGGCAGAGGAGGAGGAGGAGAGAAACAAGGTATCCAAGCTCCCCCAGCAGTAGACCTTGATAGATGCGGGGATTTCAGTTCCGTGAGCTGCTGGCCGAGGGCCTTCTCTGTTCCTGTTAATTGAGGGAAGGGGAGCGAGGAGGCGGAGAACAAGCTGTGTGGGAGGGAGGGGCTCCCCGCCTGGGGTCTGGAGCAGCTTCTTTCTCTGCTACCAGGGTATGGCCTGGCCACCAGCCCTCGCCTCGGAGCCTGTGCTTGAGGGGGCTGGCAGGGAAGCCTCTGCGTGGTCCTGCAGCCCCCGCCCCCATCCCCAAGCCCTGACCCGCCACCACCGCAGCAAGGAGAGCCGTCCCTGAGCTGGACCGTGATGCTGAGCGCTGCTCCTGCTACAAAGAACTGCCTGGATTCTGCTCCTCATGCCAACTTTCAGCCTCAGACACGTGGCCTCCCTCCCGTCACACAGCCTTCCAAGGCCTGAACTTCTAGAACACTGACAGCCCTGATGCCAAAGTGTTTCCCATGTTCATTGAACTCAGCTGAGCATGGGGCAAGACTCTGGATTTCAGAAACAGATCGAGAGTTGAATTCCAGCTCTGTTGCTTTCTAGCTGTGTTTCCATAGACAAGTTGCTTAACCTCTCTGATCCTCATTTTCCTCACCTATACAGTTTAGTAGGCACTCTGAAAAGAATAACTTTTTATAATGCTTAGCCCCATGTGCAAGTTCAAATGAATAGGGACCTGGTATTTTTCTTATTTAGAGCTGGGCATTCTGAGGTCCCCAATGCTGGGAATTAATGCTGAGTCCCCTTCCCTCTGGCACAGCGTCAGAGGTGAGAGCACCAGAGGTGAGGGCGCCAGAGGTGAGGGCACCAGAGGTGAGAGCGCCAGAGGTAAGGGTGCCAGGGGTGAGGGTGCCAGAGGTGAGGGTGCCAGAGGTAAGGGTGCCAGAGGTGAGGGCGCCAGAGGTAAGGGTGCCAGAGGTGAGGGCGCCAGAGGTGAGGGCACCAGAGGTGAGGATACTAGAGGTGAGGACACTAGAGGTGAGGGCGCCAGAGGTGAGGATCCCAGAGGTGAGGGCGCCAGAGGTGAGGATGCCAGAGGTGAGGGGGCCAGAGGTGAGGATGCCAGAGGTGAGGGTGGCAGAGGTGAGGATGGCAGAGGTGAGGGCGCCAGAGGTGAGGGCGCCAGAGGTGAGGGTGGCAGAGGTGAGGGCGCCAGAGGTGAGGGTGGCAGAGGTGAGGGTGCCAGAGGTGAGGGTGCCAGAGGTGAGGATGCCAGAGGTGAAGATGCCAGAGGTGAGGGCACCAGAGGTGAGGATCCCAGAGGTGAGGGCGCCAGAGGTGAGGATCCCAGAAGTGAGGGCGACACAGAGGTGAGGGCGCCAGAGGTGAGGGCGCCAGAGGTGAGGGTTCCAGAGGTGAGGACGTCAGAGGTGAGGATGCCAGGGGTGAGGGTGCCAGGGGTGAGGATGCCAGGGGTGAGGGTGCCAGGCAGAGTTGGCGGCAGGAAGGGCTTTTCCTGGGACCCTGCTCTGCGTGCTGGCACTTGTGATCTTGTTTCTTTCCGTGAAGGTGCGGGACTGAGCTGGTGGGGGACCCTGGCCTCGCCCATCTCCGGCCCTGACTCCTGGGGTTTCCCTCTCTGCCTCCATGGGGTCCTATCTGCTCAGATGGGGCTGCCCCAGCTCAGGTTTCTGGCTTCACCGACGGGAGGCGGAAGTGCCGACCCAGAGGAAACCGTTAGGCACAGATAGCATCGCCGCCACCCAAGGTGCTTGCAGCTGCACCCACACCCTGCGCAGGCCCTCCCTCGGCCAGCGAGGCCCAGTCCCACCCACAGGCCAGCAGCTCGGCCTCCCCCGCTCCCGCTGCACCGGGCTGCTTGGGCAGAGACCTTCATGGGAGGAAGGAGAGGAAACGGGGGAGAAGCCTGGGCCCACAGCTGTTTCAGCCGCCCCGCCACGGGAAGGCCGGGCCCGAGCTCGCCTTATCCCCCCTCCTGCCCCTCCAGGAGATCCCAGAAGCCAGAATGGAGACCACACAGCTGGAAAACACCGGTTTTTGCTGGGGCACCTGGGGAGTGACTCCCCGCTCTGTGGATGAGAGGAGCTGCCGACCCCAGGGGAAGGGAACGTGCCTCCAGGGGTGGCTCCTGCCCTCTCTGGGGCTGGGCGGCTCCCCAGGACCCATTTTCTCACTTCTCCTTCACACCCTGGTATCAGAGCCAGCCAGCAGTGAACAGAGGCCAGTGGGGCACCAGGCGGGAGCCCTCCCCGCAGGGGAGACCCCGTGCCCCAGCACACGGCAGGCCTTCAGCAAACACTCCGCGAACGGGTGATAACTGACGGAATGAATGAAGCCAACTGGTAGGATTTTTGCTTTTACATCAGAGGCAGAGGCTTTGAGGAGTCGCCAGTGTGCGGAAAAGAGCCCCTAAGTTAGGCAGGAACTGAATTAGTTTCCAGGCAGAATTGCCAAGAGCTTCAATCAGCTCCTGGTAAGTGTTCACACTGTGATGACCACCCGGTGTTAAAACACAGAGCAGAAAGCAAATATTCTTTCAGGACTACAAATACTAACTCAAATATATGGAGTACTTTAGCCCCAAATCCCGAGAAGGTGGCAAAAAACAACTCGTGTTGCAAGTCAACTTGCATTGAGGAGCGGAGTCAGATACGCGGAAATGGAGGCACCCAGGTTTGGGTTTTGTGTTGAATGGGAACCAAAGGCACTTCCGTGCGCAAGTGCATGGCCTGGCCCTGATGGTGAGGAAGCGCTGGGCAAGCCACGTGGGAAGACGTTCCTCCCAATCGCCGGTCTGCGATCTTCTAGAGCATCAATGCTGAAAGGTCACAGATAGGCTGGGCAGGGTTGCAGGTTAGAGACCAGAGCCAGGTGGCGACTGGGTTCCGCGTGCTGTCTGGCTTGGCTCTCTGACTCTATTAAGGGGATTATTATATATGTATATATCAGATCATCACAGTGTACACTGTATATTACAAGTTTATTTGTCAGCTGTACCTCCATAAACCTGGAAAAAAGAGAGATTATTAGGGCAATTGGCAAAACTGTGAGGAATCCTGGGTGAAGGGTACATGGCAGTTCCTCGTATGCATCTTACAACTTTTCTCAATGCTTAAAATGACATCAAACTAAAAAGTTAAGAAAAAAGGTGTGGTAAGAATTGATTTCCTTTGATTCCAGATTGGCCCCTCCCTTCCCCAGTCCTTTATCACTCGTTCCTGCCACCCCACCCCCACCCCCAGAAACCCACAGGATGGGCAAGGCCTGATGATGCTGGTGACCATGAGACAGCAGCGAGAGAGAGGGCCAAGTCTCTTGG